GATTTAAGTATTTCTCCAAGTCTAACTGGCTCTATTAATTGTAGTATTGATCTTTCATTACTGAGTCTTTTTCCGTACTATAATGCATCTCAGTTAAATCTTATGTTCTATGTCTTCAGCGGTAGAACATGATTTCATACTGTCAGTACATATTATCTATTAAAATTAAAATACATAAAAATGTGTAAATAAAAAACATTATTTATTACTTAAATTCACAGAAAAATAAAATAATTTGCCAAATGCGAAGTATGAACGCGTTAAAAATTACTTCCCCATTTATTGCTGACCACAGAAAAAAATTATAGAGACAATGGAATGAGTTTTCGAATAATTCAAACAGAGACTGGGCGACGAAGTGGATTGCGGTGAAGACGGCACCAAATTGTTAACTATTTTGAGACAAATGGACCACTTCATGTGCTAATGCCACAAATTACTTTTGTACTGACTTTGTTGGCTGTGTTGGCTTTGTTTTAGTTGCGGCTAACATTTTTTACCAACGTTTTTATAGCAATTGTTACAATTTTTATTGCTGCTAACTGAGATTGAGATTGCTGTTCGACTGAGATTTCAGCTGCTGTTGCTGCTGCTGCTGCCGCTAGTTGTTACTGTATTACGACATAAAAAACTTACAACAAAAAAAGGCGCATGTGAACTTATTTAAGTATTTCTTAAACAATCTTTTTTTTTCGCTGTACTCTTTTTGCAACAAAACTTACAACCGCGATTACATAAACAAAAAAGTATCTAACTGAGTACTTATGCGCACTGAGATAATTTGCCTCATATCTGCCGGCATCATTAGTGTCAAATAGCAACCAAAAAGGTGAAGAATCAAAGATAGAGAGTACATTATTGAATTACATATAAAGTGAACTACATAAGTAATAAACGCATTTGTATAATTTAAGTTTCGGTTTGTTTGTAAGTTTTAGGACAAGTGTCTACGGTTTTAATAGAATTTTCTGTGTGTAAGTTTGGAAACAATAGTGGGGGGTGGTTTTCTCAATAAAAAAAAAATATTTCAATTTCAGACTTCAAATGTGCAGATTTGTTTTTATGAAAGATTTTTCGTTTTTGAACGTGTGTGGGTCTGGAATTAATGGATTATATTGGGTTTTTCGAGAAAGGAATTTCGTTTTAGTTTCACGAAATCAAATTAGTAAAAGTAATTTTAAAATAACAATAATTAAAATGCAATACCTACACTCATAAAGTTAACATTAAGTAATTTTATTTAAAAATAATGTTATGTAAAACATTACTATAGGCAAAGTTATTTTATATTGTATTTTATGCACTATTAAGTAACATTTTGGGGCCCGATGGATAACTACACAAATGTCGATATTATCGAGGAAAAATAATTTATTTAACTAAAAAAAACAACAACCAATTTTCTACTAATTTTTAACTTTGTTTTTGGAAGTGCCTGAAGCCAATAAGATTGTCATATAAATTTTTGCATAACCGAATTGTGTTTAATTTTTTTTGTTGTACGCATCGCCTGTAGCGTTTAGTTAAATCTACAAACTATTGTTGCTGTTATAGTATAAAATATTTTCACACAAATATCAATTTATGAAAATAGAGAAAAAAATATTTAATATTAATATTAAATATTTAATATAATTAGATAAAATCGATGTGTAAAAGCTATGTACACAAATATTGACGAGTTATTATTATATTGACAAGTTATTCTATATATACATATATATATTATATTATGTATATTATATTAATTTATGTATATATATGGTTCGGAATCAGTCTCAAATACTTAATCAAATGTTCGTTAATATGCCGCTGGAGCAAAGTAAAGACAGAATAGCAATACTTTTGATAATCGCTATGCGGTATAAATATATTACTAGTATATAATATTTTATATATTAATATATATATTTTTACATGATATATATCTATATTTATTATATATATTATATATATATAAATAATTTTAATCAAAAGCATTGCTAATCGGTCTTTACTCTGCTTCAGCGGTATATTACCGACCACTTGATCAAGCAATTAGGACTGATCCCGAATCACATGCTTCTGCACATTAAGATAATATTATTGTACCAGGTAGCATCTTTGAATAGCATTTGCAGAACCTCACAGCACTTCTCCCCTAACTGAAGGCTAAAAATTTTAGTATCAACCTAGACTAAAGTAAGTTTTTCAGGATTGAAACAAAATAAATTGGACATATAAGTTTACAAAGGACCAACTTAGAATCACCTACCAACCTAAGAGAGTTGTGACAATTCTTCGGTACTAGTTCTAGTATAGCCGTATTGTTCCAGACTTTTCTCCTATAATACACTCATTGACCGTTAGTCTAAAGAAGCGAAAATATTAGGAGTGAGACAAAGCCCAGCGATAATCATGCCATGAAGTAGAAACCAGATTGACAAAAGCTCCAGTTCTCGCTTACTCTAATTTCAATAAAATAGTCTTCTTTCAAATAGACGCCAGGAACGTGGGACTAATGCGGGACTCACCCAAGAGTGTGAAGGTGAAGAGCATGTGATAGCTAGATAAGTTGATTTTTATTAAATGGTGAAGAAAACTAAAAAGGATTTTTCATAAAATTTATTAGTTGATTCGTATAAAATATCACATTTGTTAGACTACACAGCTTACTACTATGAATCTAAGGATTTATTTAAGCCTATTAGTCAGTTATGTCGACTACTTGTATGTTGAAATGAAAGATATGTTTTGCTTAAATTTTGATGTAGGACTTTATTTTTCATATGTCATAGATAAAAAACAATGAATTTAATCATGACCTTGTTATTGTATTAATTGAGGATTGCTTAACTTTAATAAAATTTCATAGCTGTACTCTGTGATGTATATAGTAGATATCGATAGTAGTCCGAAAAAAAATCTTATAGTAAACTAATTGTGATTTTGTTATTCCTATCAAATGACCGATGTCCAATGTCCAATTTCATGATAGCAATTTAAGCTTTAATATACATAATATATTAGAAGTAGTTAATGTGCTAAATATTTACATAAGAAGGCATATTATCTTTTGATATTATATCTGTTCCAGTAGTGATAATATGAAATGCACAAATATAACAATAAGTAATTATTCAAACTTAAAATCGGGTTTTATACACTGATCGTTTACTCAGTAGCTAAAAAATTATTAAAATAAAGAAAGAAATGGTCATGCTATAAGAAACTACTAAGACGCTATATGTAATCGTTGGTGGTCTCAAATGATTCCAATCACTACATTTTGTAGTTATAATGATGAGATGTTTAGTGTCCGGTGAAGTTTGATAAATTCTCTTTGAATGCAACATTTTTTTTTAATTAAAAATGTGATATTTGTTTTTAGCTATTTTTTTTCAGGTGATTTCTTATCAAAAAACTTTTAATGAAATGTTAAAGGCCATCAAAGGAAAATTTTTGATTAATTAGATTAGATTTGCAATAGCTACTCGTACCTCCCATGCTTATTAAATGTTATACAGTTGTGTTGTACAGTACAGTACAGTACAGCATAGCACAGCGAAAGTAGTGAAAATTCCATTAAAATTTACAGTAATATTTTAAAAAGAATTTAATATATTTTATTAATTTTAAAATATTGCTTTTTAATCTGAAACTACGTTAAAATCGCATGATGGCACAAGGTAAATGCTTTTCTGGTTAGCTTTTACGACTGAAATCTTTTAATCGAACTAATGGACGGGCCTGAGCTTAACTGCAATTTAAATGAAATTCGACTTCAATGAAGCTGCTACCATGAAGTAGTTTAATAAAACTGATTACCTAGAACATTAATCTTAACTCTACCCAATGAAAAAAAAATCTACAAAGTAGCAAAATATTAGATATTAAGAAATTAAATTAAAAAGCTAAGAAATAA